TCCTTCACAGGTTATGCTTTTGTCATGAGCGACGGAGTCATCACGTGGGATTCGCAAAAGCAACGAACGGTTGCTTTATTCACGACGGAAGCCGAATACATGGCTCTACACAGATTGAAGCAACAATTGAAAGCAACAAATATTATTTGAAATTTTTTGAATGAATTACATAATTGCTTTGAAATTGACAAAATGGGTACTTTTATATTAGAAATTTTATATATTTTTTATATATATACACTACCGTCGGAAATTGTCGGTACGATTGACGTGCGCGGGATGAAATGTTGATGTCGCACCTAAATTAAGATATTTTAAGTTTGAGAAAAGCTAGAGACTTGAAACTTAGATCACCTGAAAGCTGATAAAATTCTGCTTCTGAATATATACCTAGAATTTTTTTTCGACTTTCTGGAGCGATTATAACACTGGAAAGATTTCGAAAAAAAAACGTCTAATTTTCCCAATTTCGTACCCAGTTTTTGATTCCCTGCATAATCTAGGAAAATGCAAGGAAAAATTTGTAACTCCTACAACATAATCTTTAAGATCTTAGCTTTAAAAGTAATTTTTAAGACTTAAAAAATATTGTTTCGTTTTTGAGATAAGTTGAAAAATGTCAGAGCATGTTTTTTACACAACTCAGCGTCAAAGATTAGTTCTTGCATCCCCGCTGCTTCGCCCGTTCCTTGCGCCAGGGCCGAATATGCGTGCGGGCCCCTGCTTGAAACCCGTCTTGTATTTTCTCACATTTACAGTTATTGATTATTAGAATATTAATTAATTTATTTAAAAAATGTTATTATTATTAGTTGATTAAAAGTTTAACAAATACTTTTTAATATTGTACTTAAAATTTACCAAATTGGAAAAATGTTCTTCTTTTTCAGAACTTTAAAATTTTTTGTTTAAAATTTGTAATTAATTTTGAAAAATTTAATTTGTAGTACTAATTATTTTAGTAAAAATTATGGAAACAATAATATGAACAGTGTATGGTTAATCTTTTGCATTTGTATGACATATTGAATTATTATTAATTTTTCTGTCTTATTGAGAAGAGAATGAAACAACTGCAAGAATGTAACAATGTTCTTTATTAATTAGTTAAAACCAAAAAAATATCTTGCAAACATTCAATTAAATTTAACGTAATTTATCAAAACAATATTTTTCATTTAAATAATTTACATATTCATAAAACTTTTAATAGCACAGATTTTTAAATATAATATAAATATTAATAATAATAAAATATTTATAACATTTATAATAATCAATAACTGTAAATGTAAGAAAATACAAGACGGGTTTCAAGTAGGGGCCCGCACGCATATTCGGCCCTGGCGCAAGGAACGGGCGAAGCAGCGGGGATGCAAGAACTAATCTTTGACGCTGAGTTGTGTAAAAAACATGCTCTGACATTTTTCAACTTATCTCAAAAACGAAACAATATTTTTTAAGTCTTAAAAATTACTTTTAAAGCTAAGATCTTAAAGATTATGTTGTAGGAGTTACAAATTTTTCCTTGCATTTTCCTAGATTATGCAGGGAATCAAAAACTGGGTACGAAATTGGGAAAATTAGACGTTTTTTTTTCGAAATCTTTCCAGTGTTATAATCGCTCCAGAAAGTCGAAAAAAAATTCTAGGTATATATTCAGAAGCAGAATTTTATCAGCTTTCAGGTGATCTAAGTTTCAAGTCTCTAGCTTTTCTCAAACTTAAAATATCTTAATTTAGGTGCGACATCAACATTTCATCCCGCGCACGTCAATCGTACCGACAATTTCCGACGGTAGTGTATATATATTTTTTTGCAATGAAACTTGATTAATGTTATTAATATTTGCCTTCTTGAATGATAAAATAACTGAAACTTTATATATTAATTTATTAATAATAAAATTTTTTATTAAATTGAATTTTAATATTTTAAATAAAGCGCGCGCTTTTCCGTCAACCAATAAAAATACTTGTAGCTTAAAGGCAAGATTTTTTTTTCCAACCGTAGTTGCTCGTTTAGCTCGATCGGTTAGGTATTGCGTTTGCGTTTTTCGGACCCGCGTTCGATCCCCAGTCCCCACAAATTTATTTTCAAAATTGACTTCGGTAGGGTAGGCCTCTAAAAATTGCTGTGTTTAAAATGTTCAAGTCTCCAAATTTAAGATTTGATTTCAATTGATTTTTTAAAAATATAATTTTTTTAATAAATTTGTTTATTAAATCAATACTAATTTCATACATAATAATAATTATTACTATTTTTTTTTCATTATTATTATTATTATTATTATTATTATTATTATTATTATTAACATTGTAATTAATTATAATATTAATATTAAAATAATAAATATTATTATTATTATTATGCATATAAACTGTATTTATAGTTTAAATTAATTTTAAGGGAAATTTCCTTGTAATTTCCTAGAAAGTTAAGAAATAACATTCCTGGAAGTATACACTTTAATATTGCAAAACATTTCCAGTGCAATATTCCAACAAATTTATATCGGAAACTTCCAGTGAACTTTAAACAGTGAGGACATTTATAATTTGCAGGTAGCTTCCACTTGAAACATGCGAACTTTCCAATGGAAACTTCTTGGAAAAAGTGGTGCTTTGTGGGGGACCTTAAACTAGCGAACATTTTGATAGGCATTATGAGTCATACATGTAAATACCCCTGTACTTGGTGCTTATCATCTTGTGACGAATTGAATAAATGTAAAGAACTCAGGACGATTGGAAATTGCCTAGAGAACGTTAAAGCGTGGGTAAAAAGTGGCAGCAAAAAAATTATAAAAATTGTGTAAATAATCCTTTATTTCATTGTGATGAAAACACTACGATTATTGACCTTATTCCACCTCCTGAACTTCATTTACTAATCAACGTAAAAATTTTGGAAAATATTTCCAATAAATATGGACGAGGTTGCTCAAAATATATCGAATGCTTTAAAAACTTTGATCTGCTCGTAACTTCTTTGCTTTTCAGATTAATTTGGACAAAAACTTTGAATCACATGTAAGAAATTTCAAAAAAAGTTACATATCTTTAAACATTAATATTACTCCTAAAGTACATGCAGTTGTTGAACACGTGCCATACTTTTGTAGAAAGTATAACAGAGGACTTGGTTTTTACTCCGAACAAGTAATGAAGTCTGTGCATGCTGATTTTAAAAGAAGGACTAAATATAAGGTTAATCAGATTCACCCGGATTATGCCGGACGTTTACTCAAAGCAATTACAGAAACAACAGCGGCCATATTTAATTGTTTTGATGCAGAATCGTCATTGAATTAAAGATATTATACTAATATTATATATGAGAGATTCTTTTTCAATCGCCCCAGCCCAAAAAGTCAATGTTCTGGGATTGGCTTCATACTTTGGTAAATTGTTGTCCTATATGATAGTAATAAATCCCTAAAATATAAACTCATTAAAAAAATATTTGTAGAAAGTAGAGGGGGTTGAAGTTTTGACGTTAAGGGTAACATTGTCATTTTCAAATCCGTATAACTATGACAAAAGTTAATGGATTTTAATTTATCTATAATGAATTTTATTGCATTTTTCACGTACTTTTCAAAAATGTATACGAAATTTAAAAAAAAATTTTTTAACCCCTTTTTTTTCAAAAACAACCCTTATTTTTCGATTTTCACCCCTTCGGGTATTTTTTTTTTTTTTTTTTTTATTTTCATTGGAAAGCTGAGGTTTTTTCCGATGAGCTATGTAAATATGAAAATGGGACAACAATAATTTTGTGAGTAACAGAATATTAAAGTAGGCGGTGCCGATAACTGGTATACCTAAAGATCATCTTCGAGGATTTAGGTAGGCACCGCCTACTTTAATATTCTGTTTCTCACAAAATTATTGTTGTCCCATTTTCATATTTACATAGCTCATGGGAAAAAACCTCATCTTTCCAATGAAAATAAAAAAAAAACAAAAAAAATTCCCGAAGGGGTGAAAATCGAAAAATAAGGGTTGATTTTGAAAAAAAGGGGTCAAAAAATTTTTTTTTTAAATTTTGTATACATTTTTGAAAAGTATGTGAAAAATGCAATAAAATTCATTATAGATAAATTAAAATCCATTAACTTTTGTCATAGTTATACGGATTTGAAAATGACAATGTTACCCTTAACGTCAAAACTTCAACCCCCTCTACTTTCTACAAATATTTTTTTAATGAGTTTATATTTTAGGGATTTATTACTATCATATAGGACAACAATTTACCAAAGTATGAAGCCAATCCCAGAACATTGACTTTTTGGGCTGGGGCGATTGAAAAAGAATCTCTCATATATACTATCTAAAGTCATAAAGACGTTATTCTTTTCATTAAAATGTATTAAAAATATCATCCAAAAATAAAGCTTTGTCTACAATTCTTGTATGTGCGTGCAAAAAATTGCGTGTACTAAATTTATCTTTGTTTAATAAAAATAAAATTTTAATGTTAATTTCTTTATTCCTAATTTTTGATCTATAGTTTTATGAATAGATACAACGATTTATTATATCGCTAATATCACTCATAGCGCACTTGCGGAACTTTTTCAAAACTTAAAAATCAAGTCTCTTAAAAATGGCTGGTCACCAGATTTTAAATCTTATGTCGTGTTAGGGCGCACTCACACCTTTTGGCTGCCTGCCTGCAGGAATTGTCATGGCAACATGTAGGAGTAACAGAGAGAGAAAATTCAAATTTGAATTTACTATCTCTGTTACTCCTTCACGTTGCCATGACAACTCTTGCAAGCAGCCAAAAGGTGTGAGTGCGCCCTTACTCGTAGAACCCCCCAGAAACAAAATGTGCAAAAAAATTGCGTGTGGTACGAAAAAAATTTAAATTTATTCAAACCTACCGTGAAATGGAATACCGTATCGTGCCATTCAAGTTTGTTTACTGGGATGCCATTTATTAAATTAATATTGAATTATCTATTTCAAACTTTCTTTTACTTGCAGGTAAAAGGCCTCTCCATTGAGCATGAGAAACTAGCTGTAGCCCAAAGGCATGTCGCAGACAATAATAATTCGTCAGTGACACACAGTGATGGTAAAATGACACAAGGTGGTGAAATGCCTGAATCAGGACTTTCCCGGAGGATTAAAAGAACACTTACACCTACACCATCACCCACTTTAAATAGTTATTCTCTGTCTAACTCTTACTCTTCAGCCAATTATTACGAGAGTTCTCAGAAAAGGTTAACAAGGTAAGTTCTGACTTTTTCAAAAAACTTTAAGAAAGGGAAGTTCATCACAATCTGGTTGACATCCCAGTAAAAAAGGATTTTTTGAGATAGCAGTTCGGACAATTGAGCAAGCCGTTTGCTCAATTGTCTAAAATGCATTCGGACAATTGGAGTGTTTGTTCAATTGTCCAATGCATTATGCCCAATCATCCGCAATATTTCTCGTGTCTAAAAAGCTGCTAAAATAATATGAAAAACTATTGAAACATTGAAAAAACGGTAGAAAATGCATAATTCTTGATATATACAGAAAAAGAAAGTATAAAAATACCTCGATCGAGGAAAATGAAAGAGTTTTCCGAAAAATCACTTTTTAACTGACAGTATACTGCTGTACTTGACATTTTATGGGTAAAGAAGTTTATGTTTATATTTTTTTAGTACTAATTTAAATATTTTTATTTAAATTTTAATTAAATTAATTAAATTAAAAATTAGTTTAATTATTTAAAATTAATTTAATTATTTGAAATTATTTAGTACATAAGTATAATTATAATTATTTATATTATGTATTATAATATATATTATAATTATACATCAAATAGATAAAATTTTAAAAATTGTTAGAAATAAAATATATATATATATATATAATTTAAGAATGAATAGAAATATCATTATATTTTACCATTCGACAAATATTGAGAGTCGATAATGAAGTGTCAGTCATTATCATAATCTTCTCTTCTTTACCCATAAAATGTCAAGTACAGCAGTATACTGTCAGTTAAAAAGTGATTTTTCGGAAAACTCTTTCCTTTTCCTCGATCGAGGTATTTTTATACTTTCTTTTTCTGTATATATCAGGAATTATGCATTTTCTACCGTTTTTTCAATGTTTCAATAGTTTTTCATATTATCTTAGCAGCTTTTTAGACACGAGAAATATTGCGGATGATTGGGCATAATGCATTGGACAATTGAACAAACACTCCAATTGTCCGAATGCATTTTAGACAATTGAGCAAACGGCTTGCTCAATTGTCCGAACTGCTATCTCAAAAAATCCTTTTTTACTGGGATGATATCTCGAGTCAGAAACATCGGAATCTTAAAATTCAAACGGTATATTAAAATATAAGTAAATGACTATAGCCGGTAGTAAAATTAAACATTTCCAGTAAAAAGAAATCAATTGGCGGACTTTTGAATATTTTAACTCTTTTTTTGCAACTTAAATTGTTTAAAAATAAATTGAAAATTACTGAAATATTATTATTTTCTACGGACTGAAGCTATATATATATGTGCTGAATAGTCCCTGCAAATTTCAGCCCAATCTGTTAACTAATATCTTCAAAATCTTGTCAACCAGTAGCGGGATTAAAGATTCCGCTACGTAGTGAATTGAAGCTACATTCACTTAAAAAAATTTCTAGCTACTGGGAGAATTATGGGTACTTTTTAAAGCGGAAAGTATGAAGTTAAAAATTATGGATTCAGGTTAAATTTACTAGAATAATCAAAATGTTTAATCAAATAATGTTTTGTAATTAAAAAACCAAAATGATAATTTGGAAGAATTTATTGAAGAAACACTGTATAGGTAAATGCAAGTGGCACGTATCTGTAGATTTTAACTCGTCAGTTTTCCCATATTTTCAAGAAATTAGTGTAAACAGTGTGAAAAAATAATTAATATTTAATAGAAATTGCAAATTTTATTAAATTATTTTATTATTTAACGAGCACAGTTCATAATAATTGCAACTTAATTAAAAAACAACAGTTTTCTTACATGTGACAAGAACTCATACTTATTTCTATTCGTGGCTTCAAGAATTGAAAATGGAGAAAAATTTAATTTTTTTAGTTTTTACAATATTTAGTTCCATCCCCTCAATAAAAAAAGAGAATTTTTGCCAATAAAAATTAAGATTTAAACTCCTCCACTCTACAGAAAGAAAGATTTCTATTCGTGTTGTCAAAAATCAAAAATGGAGAAAAAAATTAAATTTTTTATTTTGACACTATTTAGTCCCATCTCCTAAATAAAAAGTTTAGTTTTTTTGCCTTAAAAATTAAGATTTAAACTCCTCCCTTTTACAGAAAGAAAAATGGCTGCTCGTGATGTAAAAAATTTAAAATTGAGAAAAAATTTAATTTTTTTAATTGACATTATTTGATTGACGTGCCATATATCTGTGTACATCTTTTTCGGCATTTCTGAAAAAAATTTTATAAATTGATTTTTTTTATAGTGAATTAAATAAACAGAATAATAATCATTTATTTGTTTTAAAATTTAGTACAAATTTATACAAAAGAGTTCCGTGGCATCAAATAAAAATAAGACATACAAAAAGCCATAAAAACAGCGAGTTATTTAGATTACAAACAATAAACACACAAACATACTTTCATCATCCAGAGTAACTAGTGTAAACAGACCTGATTCTTAAAACTTTTACAATAAAATTCGAGAGGTCTTTTAATTTACTTTTGTCGCTCGAAATCAACATATTCGTCCAAAATTGACCAGTAGTAAAATCACCATCTAATTCGCCAAACAATGATTGTCTTATATTCGTATAAACCGGACAGACTGCAAAAATATGAAACATTGTTTCTTCTGAATTTAAATTACAACACAACACAACAGTATTAATCTAATTTGTGCTACTATTTGAATCGTGGACAACGAGAGTCCCAAATTCAGATAATAATGTTTTTGTTCTTTAGTGGTTATATATGGATAAATCTGGAGACTAGTCGATTTTTGCAGCCTCTCCCAGTCTAGTTCCCTCAAGTGAAATTCAAATTCTTCTAAAATATTTTTCTTTTTACTTACTAAGAAATTTACGTCGAGGCAGTTCTCATTCTTTGCAATTTTTAAATTTTTGATCATACTCTCGATTTGCAGCGCCCAATTATATTTATGATTTATTTGAGGATTTTGATTCGCCAATTTAAAAATTTTCTCGCAGCAGAGTCTGGGGTATCTATACTCAGGCATATTCATTATTTTCTCAATCCAATTTAGAACAGATTTGAGTATTACATAAGACAATCTTATCCTATTTGCTTCTAATCTCGTTGCGTAATTTGGGGTACTAATCGGTAAAGCTAAGACTCTTTTAAAAAATTTTGAGTGAATTTTTTCTATATCGTCCAAGTATCGGAGACCCCAGACTTCCGCAATATAGATCAGGATGCTTCTCACCATACTATCAAAAACAACATTCTTTGTCTCCCATGCATTCGATTTCGCTCGTTTCAGAATATTAAGAACAGATTCCATTGCAATCTTTGCTGTCGCAATCGTTCTATTAGTAGTATTAATAAAGGTATCTGAATTGGAAAATTGCACACCTAGAAATACATAGTCCCTCACTATCTCTATTTTTTTCTCGTTATAAACAAATGAAACATTCTTTTTATGACCTCCTTTTTGAAAAATGACAATCTTAGATTTCTTGACATTAACTGTTAGATCATTTTCTTCACAATATTCGCTTAAAATTTTTATTTTTCTCTTAAGATCACTAACAGAATCTGCCAAGATCACCAGGTCATCAGCATATGCTAATATTATGATTTCATTAGATGGATCAATTGAAACCCCCCTTCTACCTCGTTCGTAAAAATAAGTCTCCATATCGCTAATAAAGATAGAGAATCATAATGGACTCAACGTATCCCCCTGCAATAGACCTCTCGTGACCTCAACCGAACTCGATACACCCTCTCTCGAACGAATCGCAATTGATGCCTGCTCATAGAGATTTTTACATACTCTTACAATCTTTGAACTCACTCCAAGCTTGAAAAGTTTAGTCCATAATTTATTATGATTAACATTGGGAAATGCATTTTCAAAATCTACAAAAAAAGCAAATAATTTACCCCTATTGCGACTTAAACGAATCTGAATAATAGAATTCAATGTAAAAACATTGTCTATACATCCTCTTTTACGCCTGAATCCTGATTGAAATTCCGGTAAAACTTCCGACTGTTCTGCCCACGTATTTAATCTGTTATTTAACGTTTGTGTAAACATTTTGCGAATAGAATTCATTAAGGCAATACATCTAAAATTTAATAGATTCGACTTTGCCCCCTTTTTGTGTATCATAAACGCATGAGATCGAGCCCATTCTGCAGGCACCAATTCCGACTCTAATACTTTATTAAATAAACATTGCATAAACAGTAGCCAGTTTGACGGTAAATTTTTGAAAAATTCGTATGAGATACCATCTGGTCCCGCCGCTTTACCATTCTTACAATTTCTTAATGTCGAAATAATTTCTTCGTACGATATATCTACATCTAATAAGGGATGTCTTACATCAGCCAATCTATCACTAAAATTACTTCTAGGAGGATATGCCTCAAGGAGAAAATCATTCCAAACTTCTAGATTAATATGGTCGGGTCCTGGGGAGCGTGATTTGAAACTATTGATTGCTTTCCAAAAAGCTGAGGGGTTTTTTGAGTTTTCTACATCTTTATTTATTGAATTTTCAAGTGCTTTTTTACTTCTCTTTAATAAATTTTTGTAAATTTTCTTTTCCTCTTTATAGATATTATTATCTTTTAGACAAAAATTAGATTTAAAACAATTTTTTAGAGATGTGTTAACCTTCTTTTTTTGTTCATAACAATCTTTATTAAACCAGGGTTTTTTTGTTCCCTGTGCATGCAAAACCTTCCGCATCCCCAGGGACTCGGCCACCTGACTTATAGCTGAAATTATCGTTTCATTTGCTACATCAGTCGAAAAGTCATACCATTGTACATCAGGTCTCCAGCTCATTTCCTCGGTGAACTCAGCGCCCAGCTGTTCTCTCCATCTGAATCCAGTGTTAATTTTTCGCCTGCACCTACCATCACTGGGTAACTACAGGGAGCACTCGGAAATCCACAACGGAATGAATATGCGCAAAGTCACAAAATACCAAGTCTACCACACTATTTCCCCTCTGACCACAGTAGTTAAATCTTGCAGGACT